GCGATGACCATGATATCTTAAGCGTAATCCAGATTTTGTAACCGGCAGCCTTGATATATATATATATTATTTCTTCCTCTCGGACTTGACGGATTTCCAGATGCTGAAGAGATGGCGCAGAGTATATTACTTTTTTCCATTTTCATTCCCCGGAATATTAATATTCTAATTTTGGCATTAATTTTCCAAAATATGGATTTCGTTACAGAATGCCCATGTTAAATGTGACATAGAAAGCGAAGTAGGATGTAAGTCTGATGAAACGCTGCAAGATCTGACTTTTAACTTTTCATCCTTTTTTCTGTAATGAACAGCTAAACAAGGTGCTCGCCTGTCATAAACAAAGCAGCATCGGGTAACTACTACAAATGGTAACTTGACGTTCTTTACTATCGAACAAGTTCCAATGCTTGAACTTGCACGTAATAGCTTTTAATATTTATAGATGTCACAGTCGGATGCCGATCAGCCGCTATCCGTTTGTTTTGATCGGGATATTCGCGTGTACAACGGTACAGCACACACAAAGAAGCAGCGTTCTTCTAAAGAAATTGCAGATACTCTTCGATATCCGTCTCCCGTCTTCTCTTGTCTTCTGTCCCGTGATTCCTCAGCGAAACAAGCATCACAGTTCGTGGATGGCTTGCCTCACAGTGACGCTCTGATTAATGAACATGGCTACGAATCGCTGTTGCAGCTCCCTGCGAATTCCGAACCTCCAAAAAAGCGTTATTTGCGAAGATCTGCTGAGGATAAAGGTGACGCACTACTTCTTGCAAAGGCTTTGCGGGCTTCGCCGCTGAAAATAAATGTCCGCGAAGGATCGAATAGTCCGGAAGACAGTACATACAACTGTGATTCCCCACCGCTTATCTTCACAGCAGCCGAATATCAGCCTTCTTCGATGCAAGCATCTGTTCTTCACGGTGGCGTAGACGGCGCCGTTAAACACGCCATCCAGAATTCCAAAAAGGACAGAATTTCGGGCAATCCGACTCAGAGGTAGCTGCTGCTTCTTTGCTTAGTTTGATGCTTTTATGCTCGCTTCGTTTAACTGATTGCTTTCTTCGCTTTTAGCGGGTCCTCTGCGTCTTCTTGTACTGCAGACTATGCTTCCAGCTCCGACGTCGAAGATGGTTTGCCTGGTAAATTGCAGATTGTCATCGACGATGAGAAAATGCATGATGAAAACGAAGGCGATGGCCGTTGCGATTCTCAAGCTGGTGGCAGCAGCGAAAGTAACGGTGTTTCTCCTTCTTTGATTATCGCTGACCCAGAAGATTCGCCGCGCATCATACTTTTCTCCAACGGCTTGTTTTATCCCGGTACCCTGGAGCCGTTCGATCGTTTCAACCTGTACTCATTCGTTGCTGATGAGCAAAGCGCCAAGGAGCCGTACTACTTGTGTATGGAGGAGGTTATAAACAGAGGAGTAAGTATTTTGCTTGACATTGATCTTCGTGCTCAAGACTTGTTCTAC